TTGACTCTGAAATCATCACAAGAATCTTATAAGATAGATACTATTATAAGCCCCATATATATTATAAGCCCCTGTTGTTGTTGTTATGTGCTGTTGAGTTGGACCTGACTCATAGCGACCCCTCCTTGGGTTTCCGAGGCAGTATCACTACGGAAGTAGAATGCCCCATCTTCCTTCCGAGGAGTGGATGGTGGGTTTGAACTGCCAGCCTTCTGGTTAGCAGTCAAGTGCCTTAGGCACTACGCTACCAGAACTCCCAGTAAGCCCCTAGATATACTAAAGCAGAAGCTACATTTTAACAAGATCCCCAGGTGATTCTCATATATATATATACACACATAAGAATCCCAGGTGATTCTTACACACACACACACACACACACACACAAGAATTCTCTGAGTATCTATAAGAATCACCTGGGGATCTTATTAAAATGTAGACTCTGATTCAGTGTATCTGGAGTGGAAATGCAAAATCTCAGCAGCAGGTTGAACCAGAAGGAAGAAATTCAAAGCTCTGGTAAATTCTGAATTCATTCACTAACCAGCTGTATTTTAAATGGAGCTCCTGGTGGTACAATGCTTAAGCACTTGGCTGCTAACTGAAAGGTTGGTGATGTGAACCCACCAGCCACTCTGGGAGAAAGGTGTGGCAGTCCGCTTCTGTCAAGATTTATAGCCTTGGAAACTATGGGGGCAGTTCTATTCTGTCCTGTAGGGTTGCTATGAGACTCCAACAAGTTTAATGGGTTGACTCTAAGGTAACAGCAGAGGAAAGCACCATCACAACAGACAACCAGGTCGCTAAGCAAGGGTAACTGAATTTTCCTTACAACTATTCAGTGGGGGTAGAGGGTAGCCACAAAACTTAAACCTGTTTGTCATTTCCCCTTCTAGAGCATTGGACTACAGATATTGTATTAACTACTGCTTCATCTAAGAGTTAGGAAAATGCTGCAGTTGGAGGGAGCTTAGGAAGAAATCTCTGGCAAGGATAGCATGTTCACACCTGACCCCTCCAACTGGCTCATGGACAAGGACCTCTTCTTACCAAGGCTTCCAGTTCCCATAGTAAAAGGTAGACAATGCTGCCCCTTCCTTGGAGAAGCGCCCCAGCCCATGATCAAGGAATCCTTGAAATCACACTGTACATCTCTGTAAAACTAAACAGCAAGGGAGGAAAATGGAAACAGACTCAGCCTCATGTATTAACTTACTCAGATACCCACTTTTAGAAGATGAGCACGGAACAGGTAGAAGCTGCAGCAACACAAAGTCAAATCTTAAGAGTCAGCCCTAGAACAAATTTGAGGCTGGGCTGCTGTGCAGTGAAGCCCCACACACAGATCCCCAATCTTCCATCCCATTCTGTGGTGCGTCAGTGTTGCAGGAAAAGGCATTCTTGTTGCTAAGAACCTTCTTGTATATATTCATGGAACCTAGTGTCATAGTTAATATTCACCAGCCCCTTTCCTTCAGTTTTTACCCAGGAGGTCATCGGTGGAAAACTGATGGAAGGGGAAAGGGAAGCAGGCTGAGTAGGGAGGCAGAGATAAAAAACACTCACTATGTGCCAGGCTCTGTTTTAAACACTATATATGAATTGACTCTGAAATCATCACAAGAATCCTATAAGGTAGATACTACTATAAGCCCTATTTTATAGATAAGGGAATGGAAGCACACAGAAGTTAGACAACTTGTCCAACACCTGACAGCTTGTAAGTGGCAGCCTAGCTCCAGAGTCAGTGATCTTAACATTATGCTATCCTGCCTCTGTTTTTTTTTTTTTTTTCCTACTTTTCATTTGAAGACAGCTGAAAGCTCCAAGCAAGGTTTCATCATCTATAATCCTATTCAGACACAAGACTCAGGATGGGCCCAGGAGGAAAGAGGGAAATGAAAGGCTTTCAACTCAAGAAAATTCAATCTCCAAAGTAGAGTGATGGGACATCAATCACAAGCCCAGGATGTATGGGGTAACAGTGAATCCAAGGGAAGCTGTTTCCAGGTTTTAGTGGAAATCTCATTTTTTTAATGCAAACTAAAAAGTTAGGCAGTTTCTGGCTAGAATGAGACATGGAGGAAATGATCAGACTTGGAGCCAAAAGGTCCCTTCTCCCTCTTCCCTCTAGGGAAATACAGGAGCTATGAAAGGCAAGAGGCAAGTAATGGGCAGAAGGCAAAACCCAATGAGTTAACGTGGGAAGTCTCCAGTCAGATATGGTCTGTGGTTCTGAAAGCAAAGATTGCACATCGGACAAGATGAATGCCTGAATACCCTTCCTTGTCTTTATTACTAACACTTCAAATGACAAGCAGGTCAAAGGCCCAAATGATAACAAAGAAAGAGGAGGCCCCCTACCTTCTGAACAGAGTTTCCACCTGGGCCTGACTAACTCTTGCATATAAATGCTCCTCTAGCTTAAAAATTTGAGGAGCTATTATTTTATTTCTTTTCTTTTTTAAGAAGTCAAGGCAATGCCAGTCTTTCTTCCTTTAGGTAAAGTTTTAGTGTGACCTTCTTTGTAGTCCTTTTTAGATATGATTAAAATTGCCTCCTAAAGTTGGGGAAATGGACAGCATAGAATCAGGCCCACAGCCAGACTCAAAGGGGCCAGACCAACCTCAACTCCATACATACCTGTCTCTCTCGCTTTGAACCTCTCTGCCCAAACCCAGCCCCCCACCCTCACAAACGTATATACACACAAAACCATACAAGCTATTATATACAGTCAGTAAGCTGCCTAGGTAATATCCAAAGGATTCTGGTTGTCCTACTTTGTAAACTAAACCTTAATCTTTAAGGTATTCTAGAAGAGATGAGTCATCCATTCCTCTGAACCTTTGCCCATAACACACATATCATTCTCACAGGAGGCAGCATGGTGCAGTAGTCAGACTTTGATTCAGATTCCAACTCTGGTGCATGATAGTGGGCTTGAGTTTCCTCATCTGTACAAATGGAAAATTTTTTATTTCATAAGGTGTTTGAAGAATTTAAAGAGCTAACATATAAACTGCCTAGCATACAGCCTTGTACAAAAAATGTCATTTCATGTTCATTAATGCCCTTGCAATGCCCTTTTGTAGCAGAGGTCAAGGATCACTTGGGCTCTATCTAGAAACCCAGAGCCTGATTTCTGAGATGGGTTACTTAGCATCTGTTATTTGTCTCCTAAAGCTAAATAATGGTATAAGAAGTGAAGGAAAATGCCCCCACTCCTAGAGAAACAAGGGGGATCCAGAAAGAAGGGCTTATGGCAGGGAATGTCTTCCTTTGCCTCTCATGTGGATATTTCTTCAGCACAGGAGGTTCTACAAAGTTAAAGGAGAAGTGTCTTTGGTACTTCAGAGAGAGAAATGTGGTATCACTTTTAAGACGGGTTCTCAAGGGATCAGATCTCAGCAAAGGTATGAGGCAGCAATGTGGGAAAAAAGTAAATTTTCTTCAAATCAGCACAGGATAGTTAGGGAAGGGCATTTGTCACTTTCGTTATTCAAGCCATGTGAAGGGCAACAACAGTAAGTCAGGACAACAGAGACAAAAGAATCTATAGAACTAATAAATGTAAACACTTGACAAGTGAGAAAGCTTTATTGAAGCACATATGCATTTCAAGGGGTAGAACACAAAAAAGCAAGTTACAGCCCAGGAACCCAATTTATAATATCCATTATAATATCAATCACTACCAAATAAACCATTTAAAACTTCTTCCATTCAGTTCACACATACAATAGACACCACCATAGTTCACTCTCAATCCAGTGGCCTTATAGACTCCATTCACATACAATTTTGTACAGATACACTTACAAGAATTGGAAAGGTCAGTTTAAAAAGTATCAGAAAAATGAGCCTTAGACCACCAAATCTTTCTTAAAAAAAACTCAGTATACCACACTCTTGATATATCAAGGTCAAGTTTAGGAAACAATTGAAAGAATATGAATGGAAACCACTTCAAGAAGGAAGTCAGAATAGCTGGGAGATTCTCTGTATATGCTCTTGGAACACTGGATCACTTTATATAATAGTTGGCTATTTTGGCTGACACAATGGAGTGTGGACCATATTCTGTGTGGTAACACACCCCAGGTACAAACACCAAGAAAGATGTGGCATGTAAGAGTGAAGATGTCTCATTTTTCATTAGAGAATGAGGAGCTCTTTAACAACTGCTGGCTGTACCAGTCAAAAATGCAGAGAATTCAGTGTGCGCTGTGATATACTTCATCCTCAGTCACAGCACTCTGGGACTACCTACAAACTCTTGCAGGTCATGTTCATGACTCAGTCAAAAGGCCATTATTGAATTAAAGTGCTTTTCTAAAGTTGCTCTATTATAAAGACCCCCCCCCCAAAGGTATAGAAAAGGTATCTAAAAGTGGACATTTCTTAGCATTTGAAAGAAAATCAGACCCAAGCCAGGTAGAAACTGCTTAAAAAGAAGAAAACTTAAAAGCTAAGTTTCAGAAATGTATCAAGGTAGAAAATGAAGTTTTAAAAATGAGTTAAAAGCATAAATTGCAGAGGGAGAAAAGGACCTACTCATCTCCCTTCCACATTCTCTTATCTTTAGCAACCTACCCCTGCTTCCCAGAGCCTTGGCCTCAGGTCGGGCACACCTGGAAACATGGACTGGTACTAATGCCAAAGGCAGCCAGGACTTCCTGGGGAAGTAGGAACAAGGAGAGCAAGAGAGAACATAAAAAAGTTGTTTTAAGAGATTTTTTAAGAATTACACCTCATAAATATATAATAAAGAATGGACTCTGAATAGATACTAGATTACATGCACACACACACACACACAAATCTTGAAGAGACCCTTATTGCAAGTCTGCATCACTCAAGCATAATGGGATTTGTAGAAATACATGTTTTTACACACACATACATGACACACACACATATTAAATGATAAATCTTTGCCCTTGGTTTCTTCATTTCCTCTGACTTGCCCTGCTAGACCTGCAGAGAAGGACAGGTACTCATAAGCCCAGCTTCTGCTTGGCCATCGAGGAACGGAGTTGTAGAGTCCCTTCTGCCCAAGACCCTGGGTACTGTCGCATTTTCTGCCATAGGCTCACTTCTTCCCCAGTCGAGTCCATCCAGTCCACCATTTCCCCATTACTGATCCCTGAGGAGAAACACCAGAGGAGGCTGAACAGGGGCCCCACTCTTCAGCCCACCAGGAAAGACAGGTTATATAGCAAAGATATCAGCCTCACAAAATGCATGTGCTACGACTGGTGGGGACAGCAATCTGTGAGATACTTCCTGTTGATCCTGCACAGATATTTCTGTGCCCCTGAGACTATCTAGTAGGGGCTCTGGTGGTTTAGTGGCTAAGGCATTTGGCTGCTAACCAAAAGGTCAATGGTTCAAACCCACCAGCTGCTCCACAGTAGAAAGATGAGGCAGTCTGCTTCCATAAAGATTTACAGCCTTGGAAACCCAGTGGGGGTCACTGTGAATCAGAATCAACTCAGTAATAGTGAATTTGGTTTTGGTGAGACTATCTAAAGACTTCAGGTTGATGAAATGGGACTCTCAAACACACAGAGCCACTAGAGATCTCTTATTCAGAGGCTGTTACAGAGCTCTAGTGCCTGACACCTCATGCCAGAGCTACTACCCTTCTGTTATTGCCAATTTGACTCAAAATTTTTTCAAAAATATAAGCACCATTTTGTCTAGCTGTAGACCCTACACCAGAAGTTAGGATTGTATGTGGCCTCATTCCTATTCACACATGCATTCATTCATTCAGCAAACATTTATTGAGTGCCTGCCATGTGACAGATACTAAACTAGGCTCTGGAGATTCAGTGGTAGACAAAGCAGAACAGGTCCTTGACCTTACATAGCTTACATTTTAATAGAAGAGGCAGCAAATATACAAGTAAACCAACAATACTCACTATATTTCAGATAGTGAGTTAAGTGCTATCAAGTAAATTAACAGGGTGAATTGTAGTGCCTGGATCAGGGCTTTCTTTAGATGGAGATATTTCTCTTGTCAAGTTTTCAAGACCTGAGTTAAGACCTAACCTGTGTCAAGAGTCAAGATCTGAAGGTTGCCAGCCTTTCTAGGCAGAGAAAATAGTAATTACAAAGGTTCTGAGGTAGGAATGAGTTTGGTATATTTGTGCAGCAGAAAGTCATTATTGTGGTTACACATAGTAAACAAGTGGGAGAGTGATACAGGATGAATCATAAAGGAACAAACCTGTTCTTGGGATGTGGCAATATGGAACTTATTGGTGACTTTGGCATGAGCAATTGCTCAGTAGAGTGATGGGAAAGAAGCCAAATGGCAGTGGATTCAGGACTAAAGGAGAGGTCAGGAAAGTGGAGATTACAATTTTTTTAAAAGACATTAGAGGGTGAAAGTAGGTCAAGGGAAGGTTTATTTTTGTTTGCTAAGACTGGAAATACCAGAGCCTATTTGTATTCATCTCTGGTAGAGAGGAAGAAACTGATTATATAGGAGAGATAGGAGATAATTCTCAAAGTGAGGTCATTGAAAAAAGGTGAGGATGTGATCCAGAGCACTTGGAGAGAGCTTGGCCTTTGTAGCAAGGATCTTTCTTCCATAACAGGATGGAAGATGTAAATTATAGGTATAGATATAGGTACATTGGTAAGTTTTTTTTTTGGGGGGGGGGAGGAAGATGATGGAGTTCCTGGCAATCAGGGTCAGAAATCTGACATGAGCTAAGCTTCCCCTATGCCTGGCACATAGAAGGCACTCAATAAATATTTGTTGAATGATAACTGAAAGGAAAAAACAACTAGGCAAAAAGGAACTTTGTGGAGGAAGGAGTGTAGTGGGAGTGAAATATACAAGAGGCCATTAAGATAAGTCAGGACAGGGGAGAGGCTCTCACCAGTGCCAACACCCAGCCTGACCCCTCCCAGGAAGTCATTGCTGGACAGGGGCTCCCGGTCCCACACAGTCAGTTCCAGGCATATGTGTTGCAGATCTTCCAGCCGTACACCGTTGTAGACAAACGTATGGTTGTAGTGGGGATTTAGAGTCTTCTTCATCACAGGAGTTTTACGCTTACTGGCCTTGTTCCTCATGGGAAGGAGGTATCTGGCAGAGGGTGGGGAGTAATGAATAACCTACTCAAAGCTGGCACTATCTGTCTCAGTTTCCTTTCCCCTACCACAAGCCTAGCCCAGAAAGGTGAGTCAATGTTCAGATCCCAGTACCACTCTCCTTTGAATCTGCTGAAGCAGAGTTCCTGCCACCTCCATTAACTATCATTTACCTGATTTAATTCCTTTAACCTGGAGAAAAAAATTAATATAATGTTATTAGTGAGCTACAGTCTTTGCTCCACCTAAAATGGGTTTTAAATATTTGGTTGCATTTCTAATGGCCGACGTCTTTAAATAAAACCAATAGTAATAACTGTAGGGTTAGCCAAACATGATTTTCTAAAGAACATAAATCAATGCTGTAATCTATCATTTGTGGAAAGCCAGCAGTGCTTAAAAATGTGGGGAACCAGTCCTTTAGTTTCCAAATCTAGACAGTCAGGGGACACAGATTTTTACCCAGGATTGATTAAGAACATAAGTCTATTCCAAAAGAAAAGTCAGAACCTATCTGTCCACCACCCTCCTCTGTGGAAATCAATGCAAACCCCCATCCAAACTGAGTTCAGTCCAGCGTTAGGTGATGGAGGAGGTTTGCCATTACCGAATTTCAGGAACAAAGGTGGCTGCTAGGGTTGGTAGGACACACAAGGATAAGAAAGGTTAGATTGGTTTCCTCTGTTTAGCTCTTTTTTCCTGAAACTGGTTAATTTGGTACTAGTCCAGGGACTCACCCCTTGACAAAGCTGTCTGAAGTCCCTCCTGATTTGGCAGCAGTCAGGTTCTTGGCTTCTTTGATCCATACTTGGAGCTCTCCTCCTTCCCCACCTTTACCTGTAAGGGATGTCAGCCATAGCAAGTGAGCCCTGCACCTCTAGATTTATTTTGAACTTTATCTGCATAGCACTTCCTTTCCTTAAGACAGCAAGCTCCATGACAACTGAAACTGTATCTCACTTGCATTCTCAATATCTAGCACAGTGTGTGGTAGTAAGTAATAGGCACTCAACTAATAACAATGATAACAATTAGCACTTACTGAACACTGACTATGTGTCAGATACTAGGCTAAGCATTTAATTCTCAAAGCAACTGTATGGGGAAGGTGCTATTTCCTCATTTAATTTTCAAAACAACCCTATGAGATAATACTATTATTGTCCTCATTTTATAGAGAAAATTGAGGTTTAGATCAATAAAGTTGCCCAATATTTGCAGAAATTATTAAACCCAAGGGAACACCTCCACTTGTGTTCTGGATCCCATCCCCACTTCACAGGACTGGGCTTCATAAATTTCAGCTCCCCACACCCCCAACTCTAATATCTTTTCCTCTACTGGTCCCTTCCCCTCAGTCTAAACATATGCTAATCTCACCTCTTCTTTCAAAAACTCCTTTTAAAAGAAAGCCTCCCTTCAACCTTATCTCCTCTTCAAGCTATCCTCCATGTCTCTCCTTTCCTTCACCACCAAGCATCCTGAAAAAAAAAAAAGTCCACACTCACCACCTCTACTTCTTTGCCTTATTCACTCAGCCTGGTCCCTGATGCAACCTGGTGTCTGCTTCCATTAATCCACTGAAAATGCAATCTAATGCCAATGAGCCATTTCTTCTCAGTCTTTATCTGGCCTGACATTCCTGTAGTATTTCAATACTACTGACAACCCCAGGTTCTTTCTTCATGGAGCTCTCTCCTGGCATTTCTTGCTAAGAACCTTCTACCTCACTGGCTTTTCTTCTCTTCATTCTTTAAATGTTGCTGTTCCTTGTGGTTCTATCCTTGCCTCTCTTCCTCAATCATTCAATACACCCTCCCTGGGAATCTCATAGACTCCCCAATCCTCTGCATTAGATCTTGCTGCAGGTATATTTTTAAGAATCTCTTTGGCTTCTCATTGCCAACAGATCAAGTTCAACTTCTTACCATTAACATTCAGGACCCTGTTCAGTTGTGCTCCAGCCTCAACTTCAATTCCAGCCTTACTCTCTAATATACGTGTATAACTCCAGCACCACACCCTACCACACATTCACACACAACTCCACATTTACCATGCATTTTGAAAACCTCCGTGTATGTTCTCCCCTCACCTGGAAATGTCTTTCCATCTTCCTCCTTTTCTGCCTGGTTAAATCTTAATCAAGGTCCAGTTTTAACTTGACTTCCTCCTTAAGGCTCTCCCAAATGCTACTAGACAGAATTCATTGCTCCCTAACTGTGTTCCCTTACCACACGTATCTTTCTTGCTAAACTAAGCTCCTCAAACCCACTGCCATTGAGTCAATTCCTACCCATAGCGGCCCCCATTGGATTTCCGAGGCAGTAAATCTTTACAGAAATAGATTGCCCAGTCTTCCTTCTGCAGAGTGGCTGGTGGGTTTGAATCACTAACCTTCTGGTTAGCAGCCAGATGCCTTAGGCACTGTGCCACCAGAGCGCCTAAGCTCCTCAAGGGAAGGCAAATATCATATCTTATTAATTTACACATCCACAGCCACTAGCACAGGGCCTAGTATGTTGATTGACTCTTTCCAGCCTTCAGATTCTCATCCCTCATACTTTACCATCCCTTCCAACCATCATTTCTCAGCCCCAAGGTTTGTATTCTTTTCTGCCTTCTTAGTAGCTTGGCATAGCTGGACCAAAACCACGTCTATTTAATACCACCCCCCCAAAAAAAGGGGAGCTCTGGTAGCGTAGTGCCTAAGGCATTTGACTACTAACCAGAAGGCTGGCGGTTCAAACCCACCAGCCAGTCCTTGGAAGGAAGGCTGGGCAATCTACTTCCATAGTGATACTGCCTCAGAAACCCAAAGCGGGGTCACTATGAGTCGGGGCCGACTCTACAACAGTGAGTTTGGTTTGGTTTTGGTTCCCCAAAAAAAGGAATGCCTATCCTAAGGAATTCTGGCTGGAAAATTAGTAAAGGCATTTTCCCAAAAGATCCAGGGTATAACTCAGTCTGATCTGAGTCTGGCCTCACACAGACTTTGTGCAGACTAAGACCTAAATCCAAAGCCCCCTGAAAAACTTACTTTTTTTCCGGTCACCTCCAACAGGGAGCTTAGAGGCTGGGATGTATTTCAATGAAACCACCAACTCGCCTTTGTGTGATGGCAACCCAGTCAGGGCCTCAGCACCGATCTGAAACACAGGGAAACCTACCAGGTCAAACTGGGTTTTTCAGAAATTGTGGGAACTTCTTCCTGAAAGAGATTCTGAAGTTACCCTCAAGAACATCCTTATAGCATAAGAGGATCCATCAACACTTTGAACACAATCCAGGGTCCATAGATCATGGCAGCCATTATTTCTAAGGCAGTTTCTTTGGAAGGTGATGGAGAAGAACCAACAAAGGAATCTTCTGCAATACCCACTATTTATGTTACTTTGGAGATACAGTTAGCAGATTCCAAATACCCTCTAAGATCTTCTAGCAAGGGTGCCACACAAACCCACAAAGGACTGACACCATGATGATGAATCTTGCCTCCAGTACTGTCAGTAAAAACCAATCAATATAGCAATATAGTGAATGTCAGTCAATACAGGAAGGGTTCAATGAGTGATCATAATACACTCATAGAGCACACAGCATGCAGTCATGCAAAAGAATGCAGTGAAGCTGTGCATGCTGACATAGAAAGATATCCAGTTTGCACTGTTAAATCATCAGAGACAGAAAAATTATCTCAATTATATTAAAATATATTCATATTTCTACATGTGAATATATGTATGTAAATGATAGTTACCACTTATATAACACTTATTATGTGTCGGGCACTGTTAAAAAGTATTTAAAATATATCATTTTATTTAATCCTCGAGATAATCCCTATTAGAGAGGTACTATTAGCCCCATTTCACAAGTTATGGAACAGAGGAACAAAGAGGTTAAGTAACTTGCCCAAGCTCACACAGATACTAATTGGCAAAGCCAGGATTCATATTCAGGCAGACTGATTCCAGAGTCCATATTTCTAACCATTACAATATACTGCATAGAGCCCTCCCCTAAACCCCTAATAAAAGAAAAATTCCCAGAAGGATATAAACTTAACAGCTGCTCCATCTAGGAAGGGGAGTGAAATGGGTAAAGGAATGATAGTTTTTACTTTTTTATATACATCTACAGTACCTTTCTTAAAAAACAAGAAGGGCATGTGTTACTTGTATGATTTTTAAAGATAAAAAGTATTTTTAAAAGAGGGCTTGCAAAAATTTGAGGGCTGGGTAGAACTCTGTTAGAAAATTTTGAATATGCCACAACTGGAATGTTTACATTTATTTGTTTTGCATTCTTTAAAAAACCTTATTATTAATGCCTGTCTCTACTACTAAACTGTGTCACAAGGACAGAGATTGAGCCTATGTTCGTTCATCCTAGTATGCCCAACACTTAGCAAAGTACCTGGCACTTGGCAGGTATTCCATAAATATGTATTGAATTAATGCATGAGCAAACAAATAAATGCCTGGGGTAAGCAGCAGTAGAAGCGCTTCACTCTATTGGCTCTCTCTTCACTACTCTGCTCTTTAACCTTTGGTATCTAAAGCATGAGCTGGTGCAGACTAGAAGTACCCTTTCACCTGCCA